TGATCTTCAGTTTTTAAAAAGAAATCCAGGGTCAAACAAGAGTTGACAGCAAAGTACCAGTGACAAAGACCAGTGAGTGGCTTCTTCGTTGGCAGTAGGAGGCAGCTTCTGCAGCTTTCTCAACGGGTGGCTTTATTTGGGGTTGAAGAAAGCCCCATCCCTCAAGCTCAGGCTGCCTGGCGTTAGGACAGGGGCCAAGTTGATGGCGCTGGGCTTCAGGGCCCCCAAAGCCTAGAACACTGCCCCGTAGTCCTGGAGGCGGGTCTGGCGCTCTCCGAGGAGACACAGTGGCCCTTGTATCAGTTTGGGTTGGGGGCACTGTCAGCGCCTTCTGGATCTGGTCTATCCTGCTTTAGGGGTCGGAGGGGTGGGACTACAGGGACTGAGCCCTCTGGGGGGAAGCTGGAGAAGAGATGGTTTTCTCCTGAAGTCAGTGAATGTTAGTTGAACCATCTCTAGCCAGTGGCAGGATGACCAGGGCACAGGATTTTGTGTTAAGCATGGTCTCTACTTTCAGAAAGTAACAATGAGAGAGTGGTAAGGGGCAGCGCCCAGTGTGAGACACTTGAGATCTATGCTGTCCAACGCAATGGCTGCTAGCTACGTGCAGTCAGGTTTAAATTAATTAAAATGAAATAAAATAAAAAATTTAGTTCCTTAGACACACAAGGCACATTTCAATAGCCTGTTAGTCACATGTGGCTAGTGGCTACCATATTGAACTTGAGCAACAGCACAGAGTGTTCTGTTGGCACCGTTATATTTTGCAAACACATTTCAGGCAGTTCCCTTCCAGGTCTTTGCAACAGGCTGGTCTGCAACCCTTAGCAGCAGGACAGACAGACAGGTTTTTGCTGTGAATCCTGATGACTCTTCCTCCCCTATGATCCATGTCACTCATTGAGCCTGGTCTACAGAGTGAGGCTCGTCATTTCGGGGATGTGTGAGGGAGTGTGAAGGTTAAGGGAGATGATGCAAGTCGAGCACTCTGCGGGATGCTGGTAGAGCGCAATCATTTTACCAATGGCATCAGGCTGTACTGTACTACAGGTGAAAAATGAGGCTCAGAGAGGGGAAGTGACACGGCCAAGGTCACTGAGCTAATAAATGGAAGCTCAGAATGCCAACTCTCATCTCTTATCTTGCCTCTACTGCTCCTTCCAGCCCCCATCCGGACAGAGGAGAAGCTGGTATGGAGTGGGCTGAGTAGGAGGCAGTCTGCGGGGTGGCTCGGCCCAGAGCCAGTCAGGATTGGCTTGGGGCAGAAGGGCTGATGGATGTGGAGCCCAGGGTTTTTTCGGCTGGGTGCAGGGATGCTGCTAGCCCCATCTTATTTAAAATCTCCCTCAGGTCTTGGAATTTAGCTACTGCCCACATCTCTTCAAGCCCCAAACTGAGAAAAGAGCTTTGTTTGGGCCCGACAAAGCCCTGGAGCCTCATGAGATAGTTTCGGAATGAATGGAGCAGTTCTTGGGGCCTTCCAGGAAACACTGGCTCCCCAGGAAGCCCATCCTGATTTCTGACAATTCCTTTCTTCCCCCCACTTTTGTTCAAATCCCCAGAATCGTCAGTACCTCTCCAGAGTGAGGATTGCAGCTTGCTTCCTGTAGACTTAGGGGTTTTTTTCACCTTCTTTGTGCCAGGAATGTTTCACTTAGAGGTTAACAGAAGTAAAGGTGTAACCCTTTTTTTCCATACCCAGTTGAAAGACCCCCTGAATCCCATACGTAGGACTGAAGAGGTCATTTCTGGCCTCTTTCAATCTCCTCTCCCCCAGTCTTACCCCATGTCTAGTCCTGCGACCCCTTCTCAGGGCCTGGAACAGAGCAGGTGCCTGGGTTGTGCCTTTTGGAGTAAAGAGGGGCTGTTCAGGTCCCTGTAAGTGCAGACTTGCCCCAGCTGGGGGTGAGCTGGTCTGTGGCGGGGACCAGTACCAGATGCTTCCTGAAGTAGGAGGCGCAGGCGCTGGAATGCCTCACAGGGCCTCCCGCTCCCCAGCAGCTGCACAGAGCCAGGCCTCTCCCTGCAGAGGAAGAAGGTTGGTCCCAGGCTATGCAGAGCCTATTTAAGACACCATGTGCCTTGCAAAGCCTGAGGCTCTGGGCCTGGCCTGTAGGTTGCCAGCGGCATGTTCTTTTCCGCTTTGGCCCCAAATGGGCATGGCTGCGTGCCCCCTGCCTTCAGCCTTGTTTAGCTGAAGCTGCCCTGCTTGACAAATAGTCTGTTTGCTTCCTGTGCAGGAGCTGGAGTGGCTGGCCGCCCGGTGAAAGGCTATAATTAGCAGAGAAGAATGGATGTGATTGCACATTGGCATTGACAGTTCATTTTATAGTCAGATGGGAACATAAACTGATGTCATCAGAGATGTAAATATCATTTGGAAATCTTGACATTTCCAGGAAGGGTTTTGCTGGCCTCTTCCCATGCCCACTGCCCCTCTATCATTTGAACAAAGAGCCCGAATCAGCCCGAGCTGTGTGGGGAGCCGCTGTGGGGGTTGCCTGCCAGGCCTCTGGGAGGGCTGGGAGAAGCGGCCTGTGATGGCTGTGTACGCAGTGTGGGGAAGTCAGGGGCGTGGGTTTGCATTTGCTGTGATCTCTTCCCACAGCTGGAAATGTGGCGAGGCTGACTAGCTACAGAAATGCCGTGCTTTGCAACAGGAGGGGGATCCGAGGAAGTTTTGCTTCCTGCCAGCTAGGCTGTCCTGGAGTGGGCCCTGGGGCCCTGGGGAGCTTGTAAAAACAGAAGAAGCCACTGACTGCATTTATGGGGAGGGCTGGGGTCAGTTCTGGCCAGAATTGCAGCCAGTGACAGCTCTCGCTTTGGAGTTGGTTTCCAAAGCAGGAAGGACACCTTACCTCAAAAGCATGGGGGTGGGGGATGAGGGAGGGAGACAGGCCTGGGCCATGGCCACCTGCTGAGAACTTTTTTTTTTTTTACCCAACAGGAAATATAGAACTTTCAAAAGTATATGAATCAATTCTGAAAATATTAAGATGTTCTGCTGTCGGTTCAGTGACAGCATCAGAATTACCTTTCATCAAGATGGAAAATGAAACCCCATCTCCCTTCACCTCAAGTTCACCTCATCCTCGCATAGTTCATTCACTCCCTGCCTGGGCTGTGAAGGCGTCACTTCTCTGTGGGGTTGGTCTTTCTCCAACCTTGACCCTCAGCTTTGAGGTGGAGGGAGGTCAAAGCTCTGTGTCCGGTTGAAGGTTAGGGTTGAGTGAGTGATTCCTCGTAAGTGCAGTAGTTTGGAAGAGGGTGATTTGGCTTTTTAGAGCTGCTTGCCCTTGTTCTCGGAGAATCCAGGGGCTCAAGTGGACCTTGAACAATGATTTCGCTGTGTTCTGGGTTTTGGAGCATGAACTGATCAGATAGCCTCTGGTTATTCTTTCTCTATCAAAAGTAGCTTTTATGTCCTGTGCTCTCCATTTTCCAGTGCAGGGCTCTGTGTGTGTGTATGTGTGTGTGTGTGTGTGTGTGTGTGTGTGTGTGTGTGTGTGTGTGTCCTGCCTTAAAAACTGTAAAATTTACCCACCTGGGCAAATTTGATGACATCATTTTACTCACAGTTTTCCTGATACGGACAACTCGTTAATAAGTGGCTTACCTCCGAGTCTGTCAATGCCTTCAGCACCCCCTGGCCCGTGGGTATTGGGCTTTCCTTTTAGCCTGGAGGAGTGGATCTCCATCATCCCAGATAATGTTTTCAAACCAAGGGCAATGTGTTTAGCTGTGCATTACAGCAAACCGCTGGGCCCGAGGGCAAGGGCCAGGCCTCCTGATAACCCTGCCCTCTGGTGTTTCTAAGTACTCGGTCTGTTTGACTTTTCACATCCCTGCCGTTTGTCAAAGCTTAAGCCTTAAGGGAAGCAGGCACTTCCCTTTACCCAGGACAGTCCTGGTACTTTTTAGAAGGAAGTCAAGGGGATCTACTTGGAGGGCGTGCTCTAGCCAGTTCAGGGCCAGGCAGACTCAGGGGCACCTGTGCTCACGGCCTGCCTTGCCAACACCCTGTCTGTCCATCGCTCACATCCTTTACTTGGACCGTAGCTGACAGCACCGTGGCTTTTGCTCCCACATTGCCTTCTGCTCAGTGGAGCAGTTCAGTGTCTCTAATGATTTGCCCCTGCCCTCAGAATGTGTGGTCTAGGAAGTCAAAATCCTTGGCCAGGCAGACCGGGTAGGCAAGCATGGGCCTGAAACCCAAGGGCGATCTCATTGGGAAGCCTGGCTCGCATCCGTTCCACAGACGTGGACTGCAGACACTGACTGTACTTCCTCAATGTCAGGGCCGCACTGTGTGCTAGGGGTGCCCGAGATAGCTGAAAACATCCCCCTGGTGTGGAGCTCATGTGCTTGTGGGGAAAACAAATGATTAAAAATAAAAGGAAAAAAGTCATATGTTAAATGCTGGTAAGTGCTAAGGGAGAGAAATGAAGCAGGGAAATGGCATCAGGAGTTTCGGAAGGCAGGGTTCTTTTTTAGTAACGTGGCCATGAGAGGTCTCCCTGTGCACAGTAGTAAGCGCGCAAGGGCAGGCAGGAGGCGAGGGAGTGAGCCATGTGGGTGCCAGGAGGGAGGGCATTCCAGGCCACAGGAACAGCCTGAGCAAAGGCCCGGGTTCTCTGACCCGGGCATTTCCCCTGACTCACCAGTACTTTTCTCTGAATTTCCAAATAGGGTCTGTGTAAGTTTGCTAGGACTCACATTGTATCTACCTATGCCTCCATCTTGGCCGGAAGTCCAAATCACCTCTTTAAAGGCTCTGTCTCCTAATACAGTCACATGCTGGGGCACTGGGGGTAGGACCCCAGCATAGGAATTTTAGGGGAATGTAATTAGCTCCTAACAAGTTCCCTCCACGTACGGCCACCTGGGGCAGGCCCCTCCCTGCCCATGACAGGTACAATAGCTTTCAAATAGACTCTTCGGAGGAAAATCAAGTGTCCTCCAGTCCTTCTCATCTCTCACTCCCTGCTTTCTTGCTGCAGCTGATCGGGACCCTGGTCCTGTCTGTGGGGATCTATGCAGAGGTTGAGCGGCAGAAATACAAAACCCTTGAAAGTGCCTTTCTGGCCCCGGCCATTATCCTCATCCTCCTTGGAATCATCATGTTCGTTGTCTCCTTCATTGGCGTGGTGGCCTCCCTTCGTGACAACCTGTGCCTTCTTCAAGTGGTAAGTCGGCCCCATGCACCCCTCGGCTGGTCCCCAAAGGAGGTGGGGAGACTGAGATTGTCCCATGGTCTTCAGGCAGCTTAGTTTTTTCAGTCCTGGCCTCGAGCCAGCTCGCCTGGAGGGTGTCCTGGATGAGCCGATCTGTCCACGCTGGCCCAAGAGCCCGGGCCACCCCCACTTCCACATAGAAGAGCCGATTTGAATACTCTTCTTACTCACTTACTTAAACCCTGTGTTGATCTAGACTCTCAGATGGAATTGGGAGGAACCACACTCAAATAAGAGCAAGCAAAACCAAAAAAAAGTTGGTGGTGAGTTTTCAGCTCATAAAACCAGCAAACCCGCACTGTGTCCAGGGCTGTAGACAGAGCCCTTGGGCTCTCTCTCCTGCTCCCAGCTGGCTGCCTGGCATTGTCCTCACTCTCTTCGCTGTGGTCATCAGCAGCCTCAGACCAAAGGAGTCCTTGCAGCTCTTGATCCTAGGGAACCTGTCTTGGTGACTCTGGCCAAAGTCCCAGGACTCTGAAGTCCTGGGGTCAGGGGGTGGGGTCAGCCCCACCTGCCTGCCTTACTGTGGGCTGAAGGGTGGCTTCTGAAAGCTGGGGGTACCAGTAGGCAGATGCTTTTGCTCTACACCCACGTGTATGATTGACCTCTTTGCCTTCCTCTCTCGGGAAGTCCCTAAAATCCCTTCTAAGCAGGGTCTCAGGGCTGCCTGAGGCTGAACCTTGCTGGCATGAGTTTGGGCAATGCCTGGGGGGGGGGGAGGTTCACATCCTCTACGCCTCAGACATCCATCCCTCATCCACTCCTGGGGTCTGGGAAGCCGCTGCTCAGGAGCTCTGCTCACACAGCTGGAAATGCTGCCCTACCCTGCCCATTAAGCCAGGCCTGCCCCCTCTGGGGCAGCTGGAGTGAGGACCAGCTCGCCTTGTGGGGGCCAGGAGAGTGGGGTGTGTTTTTCCACCTATATCTTGCTGAGGAGCCTTGGGACAGACCTCAACAATGGTCTGGCTTGGACAGCTGAGTCATCTTCCTGACCATCGGCTCCAAAGACGGGCTTTGCCTCAGAATGTCCATTCACATCCTGTGTCCTCACGGGAGGAAGGGGCGACAGGCCCAGGAGCAGTAGGAGCTCCAACAGATGATTCTCCTGATAGTGTTTGACCTCTGCCCCTCTAGATGAATCTCTAAATTTTGTTTTTCAGTTTATGTACATCCTTGGGATTTGCCTCATAATCGAGCTCACTGGTGGCGTGGTGGCCTTGATCTTCCGGAACCAGGTAGGCCTGTGGTGCATTTATCAGCCCTGAGTACACTGAACATGCACTGTGTGTGTGCAGAGAGCAGGGTATACAGTTCCTCATGGAGCAATTGTTTTGCTGGGGAGATGGGCTCTGGAAAAGGAAACCAGAGAACAAGAAAACAGGACAGGGTGGTGGGAGAGTGCCTGGGGGTCAGACGGGGAGGACGATAATGAGATGATGGAAAGGAGCCTACCGGGTAAGGCTCAGAGGGAGCAGAGGTCCAGGCAGGGGGAACCACTGAGGCAGAAAGGAGGTTGGCAGGTGTGTGCACCGGCATGGGCGCCACTTGGCTGAAGGACGTGCATGCTGGGGAGGGATGGAAGGTGGAGTTGGAGTGCTGGTAAGTGAAGATGACATGGGTTCTCGGGGCCCGTGGTCTAGGACCTGGGAATTTTCTCTGATGGCAGCGGGAAGCCTTTGCAGAATTATATGCGGGGGGGGGGTGATCTGATCTGATTTACATCTTACTCACTGGGAGGCAGCATGTGGGGAAACCAGGGATTGGGAGTATGTTTTGGAGCCAGTGTCAATAGGACTTTTCTCTGCTGGGATATAAGGGTGAGGGCAAGAGAAAGGCTGGAGCCCCATGTGGCATCAAACCTGCTGAAAGGGTTTGCAAAATCAGGAAGGGTGAGCTGGAAGGGTTCCCAGGACTCCCAGTCTCCCGGTCCTTCCATTGCAGGCCAGGTAGCGTCATACCAGCTGTGTGACCCTGGGCAAACACTTAATGTCTTGCAAGCCCCTAGGTTCCTGGCTAGTGGAGTTTGGGGCGAGGACTTGATGAGGGAATGCATGTGAAGAACCTGGCATGGTCCTGGCCCCTGCTGGACCTTCATTACATGTTAACGCTTTTGTCCTGAAGCCTGAAGAGAAGGGACTTGCCCAAGTCCTTGCAGGAAGCTAGTGGCTGAGCAGGGCTGACTGCCAGCTCAGAGATCCATCATTTCTTTCATAAATTCCTTTGTCTTCCTCTGGCTTTGACAATGGAGGCAGGGCTGGAGGAGCAGGGCCTGTTTATGGCAGTTCAGCTCACTCTGTCCACTCCCCTGCCTCCACCCCTCACCACCCAGACCGCTTGGTTCCTGGTGCCCCTGGGCATCACTGTTGGGCGAATACATCAAGGCTGTGGCCGAACTGTTGTCAGAAGTTGAGCCCAAGGCAACAGTTGCGTTCCCAGACCCAGCTTCCCAGGCACCAGCTTGTGCAGATCCTTCAAACGAGCCAGTGACTGACTCTTGCCAAACTCTCCATTCTGGCTCAGATGGGGACAGGAGACAACCTGTTTTGCCAGGGTCTCCTGTGTGTGGGCCTTAACCATAGGTCTGTTTTCACCCCTGGAGTCCAGGGGTCTTCCTATTTTATGAGCCCCAGGAGAGGGGAGAGGAGATTCGCATTATATCAGTAAAGTCTGTAAGGCCCAGAGAGGTTGGGAGCCCTCCCGAGAGCACACAGCAAGTCAGGGGCAGCTCAATCTCTTTTTTAATCCTTTTTTTTCTATTTCTCCCACCCCCAGCTTTATTGGGGTATAATCGACAAATAAAATGATAACATATTTAAACTCTACATTTGATGATTTTATATATGTATCCATTGTAAAATGATTACCAGTCGGTTAACACATCCATCACCTCACATAGTTAATTTTTTTTCTTTTTTTAAGTATTTTTTTATTTTATTGATTATGCCATTACATTTGTTCTATTTTCCCCCTCTGTTCCCCTCTACCCTGCACACCCCTCCCCCACTATTCCCCCCCCTTTAGTTCATGAACACGTGTCTCAAGTTCTTTAGATTTTATATTTCCCCTACTATTCTTACTCTCCCCCTATCTATTTTCTAGCTACTGTCTATGCTACTTATTTTCTGTACCTTCTCCCCCCTTCTCCTCTTCCCACTCCCTTGTTGCTAACCCTCCATGTGATCTTCATTTCTATGGTTCACTCCTGATCTAGCTGTCCTCTTAATTTGCTTTTGTTTTAGGTGTGGTTGTTAATAACCGTGAGTTTGCTGTCCTTTCACTGTTCATCTTTTTAATCTTCTTTTTCTTAGATAAGTCCCTTTAACATTTCATATAATAAGAGCTTGGTGATGATGAACTCCTTGAATTTGACTTTGTTTGAGAAGCACTTTATCTGCCCTTCCATTCTAAGTGAAAGCTTTGCTGGTTAGAGCAATCTTGGATGTAGGTCTTTGGATTTCTTGACTTAGAATACTTCTTTCCAGCCCCCTCTTGCTTGTAAGGTCTCTTTTAAGAAATCAGCTGACAGTCTGATGGGAACTCCTTTGTAGATGACTGTCTCCTTATCTTTTGCTGCTTCTAGAATTCTCTCCTTCATTTCAATCTTGGCTAATGTAATTATGCTGTGCCTTGGTGTGTTCCTTCTTGGGTCCAACTTCTTTGGGACTGTCTGAGCTTCCTCGAAGTCTATTTCCTTTGACAGATTAGATAACTTTTCCATTGTTGCTCTTCCTCTTCTGGTACCCCTATAATTCGGATGTTGGAATGTTTAAAGATATCCTGAAGGTTCCTAAGCCTCTCCTCATTTTTTTTTGAATTCTTGTTTCTTCATTCTTTTCTGTTTGGTTGTTTCTTTCTTCCTTCTGGTTCACTCCATTGATTTGCGTTCCAGTTTTCTTCCCCTCACCATTGGTTCCCTGTACATTTTCCTTTATTTCACTTAGCATAGCCTTCATTTTTTCATCTAATTTGTGACCAAATTCAACCAGTTCTGTGAGCATCCTGATCAACAGTGCTTTGAACTGTGCATCTGATAGGTTGGCTAGCTCTTCATTGTTTAGTTGTATTTGTTCTGGAGCTTTGATCTATTCTTCCATCTGGGCCATTTTTTTTTTGTCTTGTCACACGTGTTATGTATGAGGAGTGGAGCCTTAGGTGTGCATCAGGGCAGGTCAACTCACATCAATGGGTTGTGATGCTGTATGTGGGGGAGGGGTCCACAAGGGAATAATGGAGCTTACTCCACTCTCTTGGGTTTTAGTCCCCTCTGCTGCTTCTCCCAAGCAAACTGGGCCTTTCTGGTGCTGATTCCCAGGTGGGTGGGCTTGTGTACATTCTAGGACCCCGTGGGTCTTTCCAACAAACTCTCCTGTGAGGCTGAGAGTCTCTCCTGGCCCCTCAACCCCCACAAGTGTTTTCAATCAGTGCTTTTAGGCTTTATTTCCCAATGCTGGGGCTCTGGGTTGCACGGTCTATCTCACTGCTCGCTCCTTTGCCTGGTTTATCTGCATGCGAATGTGTGACTGCAGTCGGCCAGCCTCCTTGCACACTCACTTGGTCTGCTGGTTGCCACCCACCCATTGCCTGGGATCTACCAATCACCACCTGCGGGCCTGGGTTGGTCCATCAGCCACTGCTTTTTCCTGCCCTGACCCCTCTCAGCCAGCTGCCAACTCCACCCCTCTTACCAGTCTGGATGAATGGTTCCTTGTTGTCAGACTTCAGTACAGTTCAATTTTCTGTCTGTTTTGGTGGTGTTTTTGTTTCTACATTTTTGTTGTCCTTAAATTTGGTTGTGCGAGGAGGCACAGTATTTCCACCTACGCCTCCATCTTGGCCAGAAGTCCCCATAATAATCTCTTATGATCCTTTTTATTTCTGTGATATTAGCTGTAATGTCTCCTCTTTTTTTGTAACATCTCTTTGATTTCTGATTTTATTTATTTGAATCTCTTTTTTCAGAGTTCAGCTAAATGTTTGTCAATTTGGTCTATCTCTTTTAAAAAACCGATTCTTAGTTTTATTGATCTTTTTTATTGTCTTTCTAATCTCTATTTCATTTATTTCCACTCTGATCTTTGTTATTTTCTTCCTTTTACTAACTTGGCTTAGTTTATTTTTCTAGTTCTTCAGGTATAAACTTAGATTGCTTATTTGAGATCATTTTTTCTTAATGTAGAAAGAATCACTATAAATATTATTACTGTACACTTCCTTTTTAGAACTGTTTAAGTTTTAGTAGTTGTGTTTCCAGCTGCATTGGTCTCCAGATATTTTTTATTTCCCTTTTGATTTTTTTTTTTAGTGGGGGAGCAAGAAAATTTTTTAATTTTTAAAATAATTTTAAAAATAATTTAAAAACCAATTCGTCTCTCCTAATTTCTGAAAGTGTCTCCAAAAGTCAGCCTCCCAGGCCCATGTTAGATTCTCTTCAACACAGTCTTCACCCTCATCTTGATCGGAATTCCTGGGAGAGGTAGGATAGACGTCATCGGCACTTGAAGTGAAGATAATAAATGCGTTAACTTGCTGGGAGACTCGGCACCGTGCTCCCTATTGACTTCTTATTTGCCCCATTGGTTGTCTTCTCAATCTAGTCTTGCTACCTGCTCCTCCCTTTTCCTCTTTTCTACTTCTCAGTCCATCTGCTCTGAGCGGGCAGAGCCCGGGCATTGGTGTGTTTTTGTCAGTATTGAGGGGAAGGTTGTTTATTCCATCTGCACAGTGGGATGCTTTGCTGTGCAGCCCGCAGGGCTCCCAGCCAGCCTACGGCTTCCCAGAGATTGCGGGTGAGTGCTTTCCTGGCTGCTGCCCAGGTCCAGGTCATGGTCCGTGGCACCGTGGTTTTAATAAATAATCCCCTAAGTGAACAGTAGTCTGGTTTCCAGCGTGCTTTCACAGAGGCAGTTTTATTTGCCACTTTCCAGCGCCTTTATAGGCTGCAGGGGCTGTGACACTGCTCCCCCTCGGTAAGGAGCTGAGCCAAGGTGGACCCTCCAGGGGCTGTTTAGTCCGCACAGAGGGGGACGCTGTGGAACTGGGGTCAGGGGTGTCGGTTACCAATCACACCCAGACCCTGAGGGAACTGCGTGGTGAGGTGCGTTCCTTCCCCTTGGATGGGGCGGCCCCCACCGGGCCCTGCCAGGGGAGGGTCTCGGTGCATCACCCACGGAGGACCCTCTCCATCATGGGTCTCAGCTGTTTGGGGCTCCTGGCGGGCTCTGCTATCATATCCCTGTGGTACGTATTTCAAACAATTGAAAAGTGAGGTACCAAACAGTAAGCACGATTTCCACAATAAAAAAAATAGTCCTGAAAACTCTGGCAGGAAATAGAAGTATGAGCATACAAACTCTTATTTTCTCTAAGGGATGGGACTCGGGTGATTGTTGTTTTCTCATGTTTTTTCCCTAGCTTCCAGAGTTTCTTGTTCTTATGTCATAATCAGGGGAAAATATCATGTAAGGAGAATAGTGTTCCTTCCGACTGTAATGCAGTGTGATTTTATGAAACAAGGCAAGAGATGAGGCAATGGTGAGGACAGGGAAGGAGAGGCCCAGATTGTTTGTTGGTGGCAGGAAGGGGCCGTGGAAGGTGGGGAAAAAGGTGGGGAGCAATCAAGGTCAGCTGCTGGAACAAGGTTACTTCCCAGTTCCATTTTTTTCTTACCAAGAGGAGAAGACAGATTTCTCTGAGCCGCACTGTAACAAATCCAGGCCTGCAGGTTACCTATTAACTCTGAGAATCCACCTGTGGTGACAAATGAGGACAAATCATTAAGCTAATGACCTCACATTAAATTCTTAGGAAGATGCATAGACCGTGGCCCCAGCAGGCTACGAAACATAAACAGGCCCCTAGGGGCGAGGCGGAAACTCTCCATCCGCCCTTGACCCTGGATGAGGTTTCTGCTGTCAGTTATGACTTGACGGTCAGACTGAAGTGGCCTCTCTGCTCGTACAGGGCCCATGGCCATGCATGGGGAGCAGGTGGCCCTGAGGGCCTGGGCCTTAGAAGCAGAAATGCAGCATCTCCACCTCAGCCAGTGGGAGGAGAGCCGGATGACCTCCACGACTGGTCTGTGTCTCACCCCTCTTGACCGGCCATCACCCCAGCTTGTTCTTGGGCCTCTCTTGACGGTGTCAGGGATGCTGGCGGAGAGCGGCTCCTACCTGTGTGTTCACAGCCAGGCAGAGCTGAGCAGGAGCACCCAGAGGGTGCTGGGATATACCTGGTATATCTGTGCCCCAATCCCAGGCCTCCACCCCCTACCACCAGGGCTGGGGGAGGAGAGGCCTCTTTCCTGGCCTTGATCCAAGGGTGCTGTGGTCACACCCAACACCAGGCCAAGGAAACGGCGGGCAGCACACAGCCTGAGGGGTATGGCTCTGGGCCCGACCTTGAGGTCAAGGGCAGGGGGAAAGGAGAGAGCACCGTGGCTCACTTAGCTGAACACCTGAACGTGTATGTCCTTGTACCCAGAGCCAAGAAGAGAAAGTTCTGCACCGATCTGATCAGACTCCCACAGCTGCTGCACCTCATAGTGGACAGCTGTTCGGGGGTGAGAACTGGAGCCCAAATACACGGGAACCTGAGGCATAACCTCCCCCCACCATGGGGATTGAATCTGTGACCTCAGCCAGATCTGAGAATGGAAATGGCAAATATTCCAAAGAACCTTGCAGCTTTCCTCTCCTTTTTCTTCTTGCTTCTTGGGTTCTCTTTGGCCATTGGTGGTCAGAGTGGGCCTGTCTCAGTGCTGGAACAGAGGCTGGGGTCTGGGGGCAAGAGGACAAGTCCCTACCTTCTAGGGGAACCGAGGTAGGCCCAGAGATGCTGGCTTCATGTCATGGGAACCAGATTGGCACTGGTTCCACCTGGGCTGCCAGCAGCCCGGCCTCCCCGGCCTTGGGTCTTAGAAGCTGATATAGAACCCAGCCATCTCCCGGAAGCCAGGAAACTAGGACACCTCCACCCCCAGAGGCCTGGGGGAAGGCTCCGGCTGCTGCCCCTCCCTTCCTCCCTCCTCTGCCTGCTCCTCCAGCTTGCTATCCTGGGGGAGCAGCTGCCACATGCCCCCCACCCCTTTCAATTCCTCATTTATTTAAAAACACTGTAAGCATCTCTGCTGAGAGGGGTGATGCGGAGGCTTTGGATATCTTTAAAAGTAGATTTAAAAGAAAGAACTAGACAGCTTGAATCTGGTGGCTTAAACAATGTGCTCTGAAAACCCCATGCCCTTTGATGTTTGCTTACTCTTTGCTTAATTTATTCCAAGCCATGTGGCCTCGAGGCTGGGCCAGCCTTCGATGAAAGGTAGTTTTCTAGTCCTTGTGGGAGCTGCCCGTTGTGACCTGGTTTAGAGCAGGGTGGGGGTGGCACTGGGTGTGTGTGTCCTCCAGGAACAGCAGAGGAAGTCAGAGTTCTCTCTTCCCTGTTGTGTTCTGCAGGGCATATCCTCTGAGCGGCCGCCCCAGCCCCTCGGAACACAGCCGGACACAGCAGCGCCCTTCACAGTTATGGCTGAACTGCCCAGCTCACGGGCCTTGCTGCAATTTGTCCCCTATCCCCCATCCGCATCACAATGTAGGGACCACCTAAATGCCCTGCACACGTCCTGGTACACACACACACACACACACACACACACACACACACAGTGCCCAAGGCAGTACACACATGAAAGAGCCAGCTCGACACAGGGAGGTCCCTGGTAGAAATTGGGGACAGCTGCCGCCCAGGAGGCCTGGCACCATCTGTGTTTCCTGCCCATTTCGGAAGGTTTCCAGTGGGGCCTTTCCGTCCCGCAGGGCCCCAGCTCGGTTTACCAGATGGAAGGCCCGATTTTCACAAAGGGGCCTCTTTGGAGCCAGCAGTTTTGCAAAGTGCTCAGAGACTGAGCTGGTTTGAGGAGAGGGCGGGGCTGCTCACCAAAGCGGGAGGGAGAGCCTTTCCCCATCGGGCCTGTGGGCATCCCCGCTGCTGACCCTGCCCCGGGCCTCCTGCCCTCATGCCCCCACCTCCATCCCTGGCACATGACCCAGTGGGGAGCTGGGAGGTGGCCAGTGGGCTAGGGTAGGTGCAGAAGGACGTGGTGGACCAGGACTGTGTCTGCAGTGCCTTGAGAGGAGAAGGAAACCAGCTGACACAGCCTGAGGCATGTAGCCTTACACTTGTCCCTGACCCTGACATTGCCCTCTTGTACCTCAGCTCAGCCAAGGGCCCCTGAGGCATGCTACTCAACGCCATGAGCTCATTGCCTGCTCTACCATGGGTGGCAGACTGGCCCCACTCTGGTGTCCTGTTTCCTGGATACCCCAACCATGTCCCAGCTGGCTGGCCTGTCCCTTCATCACCCAGAGGACCAGGCACCCACCGCTGGAAAAGCCCCAGCTATGTGGATGGCAAGCAGCTGCTCCAGCCGGCCCCTGCGCACAGACATCAGCGGGGCCGCGGGCTCTGGAGTGCAGAGGCTGTCACCTGGGAGAGGGCCGGGCCCAGGCCTCCGGAGGTGGCCGTCCAGTCTTCCCCAGCTCCCAGGCCTGCTCCAGAGCGGCTGTGTGTGTCAGCAGAGGGTTTTCCTTCTGGCCGCAGAGAGGCTTTCCCGAGCCAGTCTCCTTTGTTACCTTGGCTTTGAGCAGTGTGTCGAAGGATTGGCTGGTGTGTGCTTCGTGCTTCCCTCTCTGACACTGGAGATGGGTTGGAGAGATGGCCTCAAACTGAACCTTGGGTCCTTCCTTACCTTGGCTTTTTAAAGTCTGTCAGGTTGGGAGTTTGACCCTTTGACTCCAGCATCAATCTGCCAGTGACCAGCAACTGATTGGACAAGTCACGTCGCTTCTCTGGGCTGCAGGGTGTCTGTGAGGCATCCCAGGCCAGGCCGAGGCTTGCCTCCCCATTTTTCAGGGAGGGAAATGGAGGCTCCAACGTTAAATGACGTGCCTGAGGCCTGGGTGGCTGCATGGACTGTTCTTGATCAGAAAGCTTGACAGCCCCTTTCAGCCGAGTCTTTGATCCTTGGAGCTGAAACTTGTGTTAAAGATAGGCCTGCAGGGTCAGTTCCAGGTGGGAAACTGAGGCTCAGAGAGGGGAAGAGCTGGGACCCGGCCGACCGTGGCAGGACTGGTCCCGGAACCCAGGGCCATGTTGTCCTAATGTCCCCGCGGGCGCCTCCCCCGCGGTCATCCAGCTCCAGAGCCGAGAATGCCCCCTTTGTGCCAGCACAGCCTCTGCTGACGCCAGGGCCTCCCTGCTCTGAAAGCCCGATTGTCACTGTGAGCGGGGAGCTGGGCTGCCCGAATTCCCGTCCCCACCCCTTCCCGCTCTAGGGCCTTTTGTGAAGCCTTTTGTGCTCCGGGGTCTCAGCACAAGAGCCCGAGGACTGCGGGTCCAGAAGGCCTGGCCCGACTGGGAGAGGGCAGTGTGCCAGCACTCTTCCCAGTGGGGGCTGTCCCGGCAGAGCTAGGAGGTGGGCCCTTGCCTTGGGCTGAGTGTGGCAGCGAAGAGCAGAGGCCCACAGGGGAAGTCAGGAGACCTGATTTCCAGCCTTGGCTGGGCCCCTAACCCACCTGCTCTGTGAGGTTGGGAGAGTCGGGCCCCCTCTCTGGCCTCAGTTTCCTTCTCTGCAGCAGGAGAGGTTGGATAGTGGAGAAGAGCCAAGGGCAGGTCTAGAGGGCAAAGAGCAGATTGAGCTCAGGCCTGTCTCTGGGCAGGTGAAGGAACACCAGGCTGGGAGCTCGGGAGCGCCAGCCGCATGGCTCTTGGAGCTGTGCACCCCCAGGCAGGGCCCCACCTCTCAGGGCCTGGGTTGTTTAATCTGTAAAGCAAAAGGGGTGACTCACTCCTACTCAGACATGGCAGAGGGACTTGGGCATCAGATGGACTTTAGGGACATGGGGGGTGTGGGTGGGGAGGTTGTGAGTCTTCAGGGTGGGAATGGAGCGGGTGCTCCGTGGGGGCAGGGGTGGGGGTTACCTGGGCACTCGGGTGCTCTGTGCCAATTGGAACTTCTAAGAAATCTTGCCTTGGACTCAGGGGCCGGCGTGATTCTCTTCTTTCCAAATTTCTCTGTCCAAATAGACCATTGACTTTCTGAACGACAACATTCGAAGAGGGATCAAGAACTACTATGACGACCTGGACTTCAAGAACATCATGGACTTTGTTCAGAAGGAGGTGAGCCGGGCCTTGGGGGTGGGAGATGCGCCTCCCCTGCCCTTTGCTCCCCTGTGGAGACCCTGCTCCAGAGGCTGAGAGTGAGCGGTCACGTGTCTCACACATTCCCAAAGCAAGGCCGAGTCAGGAGGCCAGGGTGGGCCATGGATGGCCACTGAGGATGGGGCTCGACTTTCTTAGCCAGTCCTCCCACATGCCTGATCCGGAGTGTCCTTGCCCTACCTGTCCCTTTTCAGTCACACAGACCCGCCCCCTAAAACAAAAAGAGCAAGGTCAGGTGCAACTACAGCCACCTCACAGGGTCCCAGGGTGTCCCTCTCCAATGGACAACAATCCTCCTTCCTCGAGATGGGAGTGACCGCTAAGCCACCCACTTCAAAAGCCCCTTCTGCCAAGTCCCTTTGGCGGGGGGGAGCTCACTCCCTGACTCCCCTGTCAGGGGACAGCCCAGACTTGGTCACTGTGTGAGCAAAGCTCTTCCCCGAGCCCGTTCCCTCACACTGGGGACAGAGCAAGACTTCTCCTTTCCCCCGACGACCACTCAAGTCTGTCCAGGAGATGACCACCGCTGCCGGCCAGCCCCTGTCCCGCCTGGCTTACTGTTCTCATTCAGTCCTCATGCTCAGGTTCCTGCATCAGGGGCATACTGATGGTCCCTTCCTCTTGGCGTCAGTGACATTACCCAGACTTAGTTAGTGCTCAGAGCAGCTCTAGGCGTGTGGTGAGATCTCAGTCAGCAAGTGTCAGCTGCAGCGATCGTCCTCCTCGTGTTCTCCTGAGTGAGGACAAGCAGAGCCCGAGGGCTGCGAGCCTGCTCAGCCCTGGCAGCACTTCCCAGGACATGACCTTGGGGCTTCATCCCCCGTGATGGCCCGATCCCCTGTGATAGCCATCAGTGGGGGCCAACATCTCACCGCACCCAGGGCCACCCATGGTGGCCACTCCCTTGGCTCAGGGCTTGGCTGCAGTCACAACAGGTGCAGCTCCTGGGCGGCCCTTCTCTGCCAGGGACGTGCCTGCCAGCACTTGGGTGGAGCAAGATGTTTTCATTGGAAGCAGCTCTCAGCTGGCTTGGGGATTTTATTTCTTCTGGAGTGGGCTGGAGGGGGTGACTCACGGTCTTTGGGCACTGCTTGGCGGCAGGCCCTGTGCGGGGCACATCACGCATGGCCTCCCTTTGTAATCCTAGCTCAGCTGTGCGCAGCTGGGATTCTTCAATCGGCTTTACAGAGGAGGATGTGAGGCTCAGAGAGGCTGGTCAAGTTGCCTGGAGTCACACAGCTGGGAGTGGTGGTGTGAGGATTTGAACTCTGGTCTGACCGGTTGCAAAGCAAATGCCCTTTGCACTGTGCCACAGAGAGGCACTTTCAGTTCCTAAAACCTAATTTCCATAGAGGCCCTGGGGGTACAGTAAAGGGTGTCTGGTCTATGTTTCTACCAGGGCCTCCAACCACCTGACTCCACTAGTTAAACCCTCCAGCGACTTCCCATCACTCGGAACACCATCCGGCTCCCTGCTATCCTGGCTCACAAGGCTTCGTGCATCTGCCCCGTGTGGCTTCCTCAGCCTCACCCTCCCACTCCCCTTGCTGTGCTCCACACATGCTCACCTCTGTGCCTGCTGCTGAAATACAACTCATTTCTGTGCAGTATCTTTGCACATGTGGCCCTTTTCCTATTGTTCATTGTCAGATTCAATGTCATCACCTCCTCAGAGGCCTTTCCTGACCTCTTAGCCTAAAGCTGCCCCCACTTTCCCCGTGTTTCCGAATTCCTGGCACACAGCACTACCTCACTGGCCTTTTCTTGTCCTGCTTACGCTCAGTGTCCCCACACTGGATGTGTCCCACGTGGGCAGGGGCCACGTTGCTCTGCTTACCCTGTCTCTCCAGTGCCCAGAACAGGGCCTGGCCGTGCTGCACCCCGGTAGAATACCGACTCTCCCCAGGGACTGGCACCACTGTGGGAGCAGATGCAAGGAGGAGCTAACCCACGGGGGAGATGACCAGTCTCATCGTTGCTCAGTCCTGAGCCCAGGGCAGGACGGGAGGGCTGTGTGTCCTTTTGCTAAGGGTAGGGCAGGCAGTGCTGAGGCAAGTGAGGAGCAGGTCAGTGTGGTGCAGGGGCCACGGGGTTGCTGTGGCTGCCATAGGGTCCTAGCCTCTGGGACCTTAAAGGCCAATTTTTCCAGTCCGAGACCTGGCCTGGAACATGACAGTGGAATCCATTTGTCAAGGAAGGACTTTGCCATCCAGTGTTTAGTCTTCACCCTGATGACCCAGGAAGAGGCTTCTCAGTCTTGGCTTGTATGCCTTTCCAGTGACAGGGAGCTCACTACCTCCTCAGCAGCCATGCTGCCTGTGGAGTGCCTTGACCTGACAACCTCTGGCCTCAGATTCTCCCTGTAGCTTCCAGTACCAGGGTGGGCCACATCTTAAATCGCATTGTCTCTTGCCGGGACCCCTTCCTGCTGTCTGCCGGCAGCCCTGGCAGTAACAGCAGCTCCTTTCTCTGCTTGCTTCCTCTCTCAGTTTAAGTGCTGTGGCGGGGAAGACTACCAAGACTGGAGCAAAAACCAGTATCACGACTGCAACGCCCCCGGACCCCTGGCCTGCGGGGTGCCCTACACCTGCTGCATCAGAAACACGGTATTCCCTGCTCCTGGGGCTGCCCCAGCTGGTCAGGCACCTTTCTCATCTTTCAGGACAGGGGCGGGGCGGGCAGCAGGTGGTGGTCGCTGCCCAGGTTTCCTGGGCCTTAAGGGCTACAAAAAGGGGTACACCTGGGGGGGTGAGGCTTCCCTTTATCGGAAGTGGTAGTTCACCTCTACCAAGCACTCACCGTGTGCAGGCCTCTCCAGGTTCCTCAGTGGTACTGACCCATTTAGTCCTTTCAGCTGTCCCATGAGGGGTATTGTTATTCATTCTCTGTACAGATGAGGAAACCGAGGGACCCAGAGGCTAGGTGCCTTGCCCAAGGTCAGTAGGGCTGGGATGAGAGGCAGACGTTGATCACCAGAGCTGTGGTCTGACTACTGGGCAAGCCGGACCAGGAGCGGGAGAGGGTTGGCCTAGCAGGGCCAGCCAGCTCTGCAGCCTTGACCGGAGGGCCGCAGCAGGGCCTGTGTGGCGGGCGTCTCCAGGGACTTTGGGCTTGAGGACCTGGCGATCATCAGTAATGAGGCACTTGGAAGGGGTTCCAATGATGTAAATGCCAGGAGGGTCCTGTCAACTCTCTCACCCCCTTAGCTACTTGGGAGGCTGCCCTGTGTAGTCACCGAATGAGAGAGGCTTCGTCAGTCCTCCGTGTTTGACTAATGTGTCCAAAAACCGCCTGGTTTCTGGGCTGGAATAGGCAGAGAGCTTTGCACTTACTCATCATGCTCCAGAGAGTCATGGAAAATTTCTCTCCTGACGACTTCAGCCTTCTGTGCCCACTGCTGGATTCTGTAAACCGAGCAGCTGCTGATGGGGGTGGGGGCCTCGCCCATGAGTCAGGGAGCCAGTGACAAATGCAAGAGCCCTAAAAAAGGCCAGCCCGGGAGGGGAGGCTCGTTTGGAAATTTTAGCTGCCATTTTAGGGCGGCCCTCCTGGGAAAGAGCCCGGGGCTTTCTTAGAGGCCTGGGGGAGGCGACCTTGGACTTCATCACCCAGGGCAGTGGCACCTGAATGTCCAAGCTAAGATGTGGACGCCCAACTTGTGTTTATCATTCATTCATTCAACAAGTATCTACTGAGGACCTCCTATGTGCCAGATGTGGTTCCAGGTTCTAGGGGTGAAGCAAGCACACGTAGAACTCTCTGCCCTCCCGGAGCTGAAGTTCTCCTGGGGAAAACTGACAAAATAAATAAGTGAAGGAGGATGTTAGAAGGTGATAAATGCTAAGGATAAAAATAAAGCAGGAATGTGGAGGATCGCAATTTTACATCGAGAAGGTGGGTTGTCCAACACACTCTGAAGGAAGTGAGGGAGTAAGACATGCGTATCTGGGGGCGGGGCCTTCCCAGCAGAGAGGCCAGCAGATGGAAAGGCCCTGAGAGGGGAATTGCTCTGGTGAGTGTGAGAAACAGCACAGAGACAGCGAGGCTGTAGCAGAGCGAGGGTAGTAGCAAATGAAGCCAGAGAAGCTGTGGGTGCCCTGAAAGCTACCATCAGAACTAGACAGTCTGTCTACAGCCATACCACCCCGAACGTGCCCAATCTCGTCTGATCTCAGAAGCTAAGCTGGGTTGGGCCTGGTTAGTACTTGGATGGGAGAACTAGACATTCCCATGAGTGACAGGGCGTAAAGGGCTTCAGCGGCTGAGCAGGAGATATGATTTGGGCTTTTCTAGGATCACAGTGGGCAGAGGTGGGTGCGGGGCGTACGGTTAAGGGCTGGCGCGGCAGCCCACGTGACACAAACCAGACAGTCTGGGTGGGAAGCAGGGTCTGAGATTCAGGTTAGTGAGCAGGAGGCTCAGCAGGAGGTGCTCCCAGGACCAACCACTGTGAGGGACACAACAGAAGCAGCGCTGGGCAGAGGGAGAAGTTGAGCAGTGATGCAGCCTCAGTAGGAACCTCAGTGGCATCTATGTGGATGGTCCCTCAGAGCTGTCCCATAGTGGGACAAAGAGGCCAAGCCTGCACACCCCACCTTGACCAGGCATCGAATGAGTACACTGTCCCACCTGTGAGGGGACTCACTGGCTCTGTCCAGCAGAGGAGCAGAACCAATAGGATGCATGCGTCTGTGTGTGTGTGTGTATAAAGGGATTATTGTAAGGGATCAGCTCACAGAATTATGGAGGTAGGCAAGTCCCAAGGGCTGAAGGGTGAACCAGCAAGCCAGAGACCCAGCAGAGCCGGTGCTCAGTCCCAGTCCAAGGCTGAAGGCCTGAGGTCCAGGGGAGCTGACGGTCCGGTGCCTCCTGAGTGCTGGAGACCCCGGGGCGGGGGGCTGGTGTTTCAGTTCAGACCTGAAGACAGTCTGCCGGGAAGAATTCTCTGTTGCTTGGAGGAAGCGCAGCCTTTTTGTTCTCTTCGTGCCTTTAACTGATTGGATGCGGCCCGCCCATATGAGGTAGAGCAATCTGCTTTCCTCAGTCTACTGATTTAACTATTCATCTCATTGAAAAACACCCTGCGGAAACACTCAGAATGTTTGGCTAAGTATCTGGGTACCCCAAAGCTTGGTCAAGTTGACACACAGAATTAACCACATGTGACAATTGCTGCAGGGGACTGACAACTAAGGGTGGCCACCACAGCAGCCGCAGAGGCCCAGGCAGCTCCTCACAGTGTCCACCACACCAGGCGGGAGAAGGTGGAGGCTCAGGGCTGGGTGGCTGTCACAGGGATGGCACGACACGGTTGGATTCTGGCTGTGGTTAGCACGTAAGCCACCAGGACTTGCTGGTGGGAGGCACCAGGATCAGCGGTGGGAGGCAGGCGGAAGAGGAGATCGAGGAGAATACCCGGAGTTTGGCCTGAGCCACAAGAGTGGCGGGGCCACCATTGCTTGAGGAGGAGGGCTGCGTGGACAAAGGTTGGGGGCATCGGGAGCTCAGCGTGGGCATGTGGGATTGAGAGCGTGTGTGCCAGGCCAGCGGGGCCGTCAAGGAGGTGGTTAGAGATGAGTCTGCAGTATGGGGGAGGGGTTCAGGCGGGGAGTGTCAACACAGATGCCACCTGCAGGGAAAGGGAATCTAAAGCTGGCCTCTAAATGGGAACTCCCAGGTGGGGAGGTGAGGGGAACCGGGCTACGTTATCTCTGGTCCCACATGACAAAACTGTCGTTGTCCCTGCGTCTCCCACACTGGGATGGTTTTCTCTAAGTGTGAAAGAGGGCGCTTCCTTCTTTGATGGAATCGGTTCCATTTGTGTGTGAATCTACTTATTTTATACTATCTTATTCAACCAAGGAAATAACAGAGAATAAAACACTAAACTAAAACAAAACAAAACAAAACAAAACTGGAATCATGGAAAATATATTCCAAAACGGGGCAATAGATGATGGAGAAAATATAAACTACAGATCCATAGGCCTAAAGGGCTTACAGAATCACTGGAAAGGAGCCTTGTGTGTGATGGCCTAGAGCTTCCTGGCAGCCAAAGGGAAAAAGACAGAGGTGGTCTGTTACACCACTGATGTTTAACACAAGCAAACTTACCAGTTCTCCAGGGATAGTTGCTTTTCCCCTAGGTCTCAGCTTTTATTAAAAGAAATGTCTCATTCTGGGCTTCCTGCAGGGCATTTGGGTAGGGCTTGTCCCTCTCCCCAGTAAGAGGGAATTCTTCCTGCCTGCCTCCAGACTCGAACGGAAGCATTGGCTCCTGCTGGGTCTCCAGCCTGCTAACCTTCAAACAGGAGCTACACCATCAGCTCTCCTGGTTCTTTGGAGAGGCTTTGGAGCAACAGAGCTTCGTGTTGGCTTCTAAAGTTCCTGTAAAGTTCAGTTACACTGAGGATGCCCCCCAAGACCCGTGGGTGTAAAGGGCAGCTTTATCCTACATTAAATGGCCTCAGACCACTGTGCCTCTGTGTCCAGCTTTTATCAATATTCACTCCCTTTTTGTTGACTACCCTCTGGGGGCCTGTCCCTGATGCCCCCTCTCCCCTTTTTCTAGCTGCCCAGACCCCACATGAGCCAGCTCCTTAGTCCTGGGTCAGGGTGAGAGGATGCACAGGTGAACCTTGCTGTACTGATCTTTGGCTGCTCAGGAGTCCCCTTCCTGAGGTCCTGCCGTGTGGCGCTGTGGCAGGTGGACACAGCCGCTGCACAGCTTGTCTTGGGACCCTAAGCCTTTGGCAGAGTCCCTGCAGGACATCGATTCTGTGGTGACAGCCAGGCAGGCTTTGCGTTTGGAAAGACCCCACAGATGCATCGTATCCCCTCCTCAGAGGGGAGCTCTCCTGGAAGGGGAGGCAACTCCCCTGGGGCTGGGGAGCGGCTGGCCTCTAGGTGTGAGGGAGGCCTCTGCCGGCTGCATGTCCCCTCTCTGAGGGCAGGGTCTGTGGCCCCTCCGCCCAGGCTGGACCCTCAGTGAGGAGTGAAGTTACTCTTGTCACCTGCTTATATACCGTATGGTTTGCTTGTCTATGATGTTCATTGTTGGTCCTTCTTTCTAGCCTAGAGGTTCCGTGAAGGCAAGGTCTTTGTTTTGTTCTATATTCCAAATACCTAGAACAGTTACTGGCACATAATAGGTGTTCAGTCACTGTTTGTTCAGTGAATGCCAGAGTGAATGAACAAACAAGGTAGAAAGCTCCCATCATGCCCTCAAGGACCTGCTGCTGGCCTGACCCTCTCCATGGGGTCATTTTCATGGCCTGGAGGGGCCAGAACTGTGAAGTGGACGCTGGGTCTGAGGGCTGTGGAAGCAGTCGAGACTGGGGGAAGCTGTTTTGCTCACACACCAGGCCCTGACATGCAGACCTGATAGGAGGAGGAGACGGCACAAGGCCACAGGCATGATGGGAAGTGCCCCTGCCAGCCCTGTGACTTACACTTGCTGGGAAGGAATGGGATGGGGTCTAGGACCAACTCGGATTGATCAGCATCTGGAAGTTTTTGCAAACAACTGTCTTCCCAGAAGGGAACTGGAGTGGCACTGCCTTTCACTGGGTGGGTGACCATCGGCTGGGACAGGGACGTGTGGTCAGAGGTCCTGGCCTTGCCCTCCGATAAAGCACCACTGGCCAGGTCCGGCTGCAGTCTGAGGTTTTCCTTCAGGACAGCCGGCAGAGGAGAAGCCCAGCCAGCCTCCGAGACAGCGCGTCACCCTGCCAGCAGGACTGTGCCTTCTTGGACGTGGGATGTTGAGGTGCAGAGTTGAGGCAGACTTCCCAGGTGGGAATCAGCTCCAGCCACACTGGACAGTGCAACTCTGCGTCTCAGTTCCTTCGTCCATAAAACAGGGAGAATATTATTACTAGTGTCTTTGACGGTAAGCACCGTGTAAGTATTATTATCTAATATACCTTTCTGTTTCAGACGAGCGTTGTCAACACCATGTGTGGCTACAGAACTATTGACAAGGAGGTAATGTCTTTGAAATCTCCTCCAGAAAGGTCGTTCTTCCTGTCTGGAGTGGTGGGAGGGTTGGAGGGCTGCTGAGATTTTCTAACACTTCTGGTTTTAAACAGTAGCCAGGGACTGCTGGGGTTTTCCACTCCTACACAGACACAGAAGGGTTCAGGGAGCCGAGAACCCCCTCGGCTGGGAGAGGTGGCCTGCTGTGGGATCGTCTGTGCGGCACGCTCGTGTGCCCAGTGTGCTCGGCAGCAGCCTGCCTCTCCCCTCAGAGCCTCCAGTCTGCAGATGGCTCACCCCGGCTCCCTCCACCTGGGACCCAGGAGTCCCAGGGGGACAGAGAGCCCTCTGCAGGATCCCTCCTGGGTCAGCTTCCTGAGCAACACCACTGGACTAGGAGAGAAGCTGGCTTAGTGCTGAGAAGGGAGCTAAAAATAGTGACTTGAGATGCCTCTGAGTAGTGTTTCTGGAAATGAGGTCCCAGACCCAGCAGCAGCCGCACCCGCACCCCCGGGAACTTGTCAGAGATGCTCCTCCTTGGGGCCTAGAAGGTGATTCCGATGCACATTTTGGGTGGAGAGCTGTAGGCCCACAGTGGCTCTCAAGCTTTCAGACCCAATGGCCAATTTTTGTAATGAACTCTTGGTTATGCCCTCGTTATTATCCTGAAATGAAAATTCAGAGATGATATAGGCTATCCACACACCTACTTTCAAAACAAGTAACAACAATCTAGCTGACGTGGGAGGAGAAGTAAAATAAAACAATTTATGACCATATTCTACCACGTAAGGGCTCAGGCACAAGACAAGACAGGTGCAGCGGAAGACCCCCATGCAGCCAGGCGCTTGCACACGGGGCCGCCGCTTCTGGAGGGCAGAGGTGCCACGTCAGCAGCTTGCACACCATGAGCCATATTTTTGCAGTTGATGTGGTTTTCTCAAATGGTGAACAACTCTATAAAGTTTTGAACACAATAAAGTATAATCGTTCCTTAATTTATACATAGTAGTATTTGTGCAAAATTCAGCGTGTTGTAAAACCATGTGGAAAACACTGGTTTTTATATGTGCCTGGAGTTAGGCTTTTGGCTCAGATCATCACAAATGGGTTTGCACCCACATGAATGCCTGGGGAAGGTCTGGGAGGCAGGCAGGCGGGCCGGCAGGTAGGTAGAGAGGTTGTCGGTGAAGTAAGACTGCCCTTAGCTCTGAAGTCCCTCAGTCCCCAATCCATTCTCTGTGACAACCAGAAGTGCCACCACAGTGTTCCCAGTGTTACAAGGAACACTGCTGCCTGTTGAGACCCAGTGGTCGGGTACCACCTTCTCACACTGCATGGGAGAAACCGAGGTTCAGGGAGGTTGGGGGACCTGCCCAGCGCTTGCATGAGCGGCAGAGTCGGGACTGGGCTCCGCCAGGCACAGTGCTCAGCAGGTCCTTCCCGTGCAGCGCCTCATTGTGCAGAACGTCATCCACGTGCGGGGCTGCACCAACGCCGTGCTCATCTGGTTCATGGACAACTACACCGTCATGGCGGGCCTGCTGCTGGGCATCCTGTTTCCCCAGGTGGGCTGGTCCCCACTGCGCTCGGGGTGGTGGGTGAGCTGTGGGTTCAGATGAAGGGTGGCTGGTGATTACAGAGCGCACAGGAGGTGCAAAGGGGCTCATCCTGGGAGGGCTGAAAGGAGAGGGAGAATCACAATAGCATTGCTTAGAAAGCTCTTCCAAGTGCTTCACAGGTACTGCCTCCTTCAGTTCTGCAAGGTAGGTAGTACTATCATACCCATCTTACAGAGAAGGCACCTGAGGCTTGGAGAGGTCAAGTGACCTGCCCGGGTCCTCCCAGTGGCAAGTGTCATGGTGTGGGTGGAGACAGGAGTCCCAGAAGTGGAAACCCCTGCTGAGCAGCAGCAGGGGAGGTCTCTGGAGTGACTGGGAGGGCAGTGCAGGGCCCAGGGTCAGGTCACTTGAGCAGTGGGGGTGCCGGGGAGAAGGCTGTGCTCTGGGGGTTTCCCAGGTCAGCAGTGCCTTGAGTGCTCATGACTGGCTGCCAGGGTTTCTGGGAACTGGGGACTGCCAGAGACGGCCACCCGGGTCCCCAGCAGGCTCTCATCCACCCTGCCCTTTCTTTTCAGTTCCTGGGGGTGCTGCTGACGGTCCTGTACATCACCCGGGTGGAAGATAGCATCGCGGAATACTCTGCCACCTTCACTGACGGGCTCCTCGGGACGGGTGCCAAGCCCAGCAAGGAGGCGACAGGCACGGGGTGCTGCATGTGCTACCCCGTTTAGGGCCTGTCCAGGGCAGCAGCTTCTGCAGGACTGTGCCAGGATGGCACCACATCGTGGGGGCTAGACAGGACAGTGGTCCTTCTCCCCACAGTTGGCACTGACCAAAGCCCAGGCTGTGCTTGCCCTGATGGCCAGCTCAGGCCTCCTGTGGCCACTTCCTCTCCGGGGGACAGAGCCTGGGGCCCTCCCCAGCTCCGGGTTCTGTGTCCGCTCACACTGCTGGTTACGGGGAGCAAGGGTAGTCCTTCCCCAGGCCTAGGCCACTGCGGGACAGAGAGCTCAGCACTCAGCTCAGGGCTGCTTCATTTCTGGCAGTGTCTTCTTGGCCTCTGATGTTTATGCCCCTCTGGGGGCGTTTTTTAGTGATTTGTAAGAGGGGCGAGAGGAGAACGGGGTGTCCTGTGGTGAAGGAGGGGAGGGTGCAGACCTCAGGTCCCCAGTCCCCCGGCCATGCCTCAGGGGCCAGGGTGGGCCCACTTCTCAGCCTCCAAGTGCCTTGAGCCCTCCCCAAGGGCTGCTGCTTTGCTGCCCCATTTTTTACATCATTTTGTAGCATTCGTTTTGTACACAGTTAACAGGAGTTTCTGACTAATCAAGGCTGGGTTTTCCCATGTGCTCTGCTCTTGCCCCTCCAAGCCAGTTTATTAATCAAACAATAAAAACTTGATTTTTTTTTTTTTTGGTCTTTCATTTGTGCTGTTTGGGTGGGGAGGGGGTGAGGAAGGCCTGAATGTGGACTTGGCAGCTCCTAGTTGGTGCAGAATTAAAGGGGTCCACCCTGGGGCCGAGATTTGGGATGATCCGGGACACTTTGGGACACCAAGGCCGGAGAGAATCCGCAGCTGGCGGGCGCTGCCTGCTCCTGATCTGGAATGGCCTCTCTCATTCTTTGCCTGGCCACTTAAGGAAATGGCTTTTCCCGGCTCTGCTTGTGGGCTGGGCCTGCAGCTTGTCCTTTCTGCTAGGACTTTACTTGTAGGAAACCTCAGGGGAGGAGGCAGAGGTGACTTCCTACTTTACAGGCTGGGAAACTAAGGCCAGGTCACCTATGGCAGGAAGCTCCTCCTCTGGACGGTGGGGCAGAATGGGAACTAGGAAGGCCAGGCTCCGGGAAGGAGCCGTGCCCACAGATGCACTGGTGGCTTTAGAACCACAGTGGCCTTCCCGCCTTCAGTAAACAGTGGTTCCCAGGGATTGGGGTGGGGTGGAAGGTGCAGAATGCCAAGCAAAGCTCAGTGCTGATCGCCCCCTGCTGGAGATAGCAGAACCTACATGGATCAGTCCAGCCCCACCTTGTGCCCCAAGACTTGAATTCTGGATTTTCTAAGAGGTTCTTAGCAGCCAGGGCAATAGAAATAGAACAGCAAGAGTCCCAAACCCGATGAACTTAATCTAAGGGTGTTAAGGGAACTGCCCATGACACCCGGAGTGCAGCGGCCGGACGCTTGGTCTTCCCCGTGTGAGGGCCAGAGCTGATGTGCAGCGGAGGGCGGCAGCGGAGGGGTTTCCAAACGGGCAGGAGGCAGCGAGAGCAAACGCGGCAGCCAGCCTACTTCGTGACTAGACTCGTACTTGCCTAAAAATCTTACAGCCGTTAATCCCTTTAATTCTCACAGCCGTTTGTGGTAATTCTCATTATCGTCATCTTACTGATGGAGAAACCGAGGTGCAGAGCAGGTAAGTAACTCGCCCGAGGCACACGGCTGGGGACCGGCGAAGCCGGGTCATGCACCGGTGAGTCTCACGGCCAGTCCGCCCCCTGCTCTGCGGGCTCGGTGGCCTCCTGTGGACTCACGGTACGAGGCATGCAAAACCAGGGACAGCCGCGGCCACTGCTGGAGCCCCCCTGGCCCCCATTTTGACCTCTGGACACGAGGCCTTGCCAACCTCCGAGTCACAGCCCCCGGGCTCCGGCTCTGTGCGCAGAGGGGCAGGCAGCTGCCTTTGGGGCCGCGAGACCAGACACGGGGCACGGAGCACGGAGCGGGTTTCGGCTGCTGCTCCGCATCCAAAGTCACTCCACCCTGGAACCTGGAAACCTCGGCCACCTTGTCCTCCCTCTCTCCCCAGCCAGGTACAGGCACCGGTCACCTCGCACTGCTGCCCTGTGCACCGGGGTCACAGGTTGGCACCCTCAGATGACTGAGCTCCCGCGAGCAGTTTCATTGTCATTCAAACCTGGGCCACTCACTTCTCTGGAAGGCAAGCTGAGTTCGTGGAGAGGACCTTTTCAGTCCCGTGGGTGGGACGCCTCTCCCATCGCGCCCTTTTGTGCTTAGAAGCCAGCGACATCATCTTGACCCGTTGTCTCACAGGGATGGAAGAATGACCCTCAAAACTAGGCCTCTTCCCACAGTGTCAGAGCAGCCACCATACTTGTGAAACTAGAGGAGGTTTGTGGGCTTTGATCTTGGACGTGTTTGTTACGTAATTTCAAGAGGAACAGAACAATCAAATGCATTAGGGAAGACTGGCTTTGTATAAGAATTCCAAATACAATACTGTCCAAACTTATTTTTTAAACAGTTTATTGAGGTATATCTCATGTGAACTGCACATATTTAAAGTGACAGATATTAAATGTATCATTAATGAAGCCATCATTACAATAAAAATAATGAGCATGTCCATCACCCTAAACAATTTCCTCTTGCCCTCTAGTAACCCCTTTTTATAGCCCTCCTTCCCAATCCCCGCCTGTTCTCAAAACGCTACGAATCTGCTTTCTGTCTCTTTAAATTACCTTGTACTTTCTAAAATTTTATATAAGCGGACTCATACAGTAGGCACTCTTCATTTGTCTGGGATCTTTCACTTGACGGAAGTATTCTGAGACTCCTTTATTGTGTAGTGTTTGCCAGTAGTCCGTCTTTTTATTTCCGAGTGGTATCCCATTGTGTGGGTGCACCATAGTTTATTCACCCGTTCACCCACTGATGGCCATGGGTGTTGTTTTTATCTGTTATTGTCATCACAAATAAAGCTGCTGTGAACATTCATGTTCATGTCTTTCTATAGAAATATACTGTTGACCCTTGACCAACACATGGGTTAGGGGTGCCAACCCCCCCCCCCCGGCCCCCGGCAGCCAAATAGCTGGGAATAACTTTGATGCCCCTCCCCCCAAACATAATTACAGTTGGTCCAATGGAGGATCCAAAGCAGTATTTTTGTTCTGCAGTTGGGAGTCCGTGGTTGGGAATCAGCGGTCGGGAATGCAAAAATACTGTTTTCAATCGCAGTTGGTTGACTCGGCAGATGCAAAACCCATGGATACACAGGGTTGGCTGTACTGAGTGAAAAAATTCCATGTGTAAGTGGACCCACACAGTTCAAACCCATGTTACTCGAGGGCCAACTGTACTTTCATTTCTTTTGGGTAAATATCTCAGAGTGGAAAACCAGATCATATGGTAAGTGAATCTCTTTTTAAGAAACTGCAGAACATAATTCGAAAGTTGGTTGCATGACTTTCTCTTCTCTACATTCTTGCCAGTATTTGGTATGGTCAGTCTTTTTAATTTTGTGTGGTGATATTTCATTGTGGTTTTACTTTGCATTTCCTTGATACAGTGGAACCTTGGTTCTCAAACTTAACTCATTCCAGAGGCTGTTGAAGAACTGATTTGTTTGAAAACCAAACCACACTCATGCTCCCACCTTCTCTCCTCCATCACCCGAGAGACATATAACTGGCCACACAAGTATCAGCATGACAGGGTTGTCTGGTTGGGAACCGGGGTTTTGTTTAACAGGGAGACACTTTCCCCGTGAACAACATGGTCAAGAACCAAGTTGTTGGAGACGGCAGCCCTTCGAGAGCCGAGGTTTGACTGCAATCAGTCCCATTAAGCATCTTTCCGTGGGCGGATTCGCCCACATAATTTCTTTAGCGAAGCATCTGTCCAAATCTTTGTAAAAAATCGTATTGTTTGTCTTTTTATTGAGTTTTGAGAATTCTTCATAAAATCTATATACACATCCTGTAACAAACAGACAGTTTGCCAATACTCTCCCCCAGTCTGTGGCCTGCCTTTTCATTCCCTTGACAACGTTTTTCAAAGCCCCCGCTGTGCGAAGCCCAGTGTCTCCTGTGGGCTGCGCCTTTGGTGTCACATCTAAGAAGTCTTTGCCTGACCCAAGGTCACAAAGGTTTTCTCCTGTGATTTCTGTCGGAAGTTTTACAGCTAAGTAAAGCCATTACTTAACTGTACACTACAATGGTCCACTTTGAGTTAATTTTTGCATGAATTGAAATTCACTTATTTTGTCTGTGAATACCTGTTTGCCCCGGCGCCGGTTGTTAAACGGTGCTGATTTGCTGACAATCAATTGTCCATGTATGGGTGGGTTTATTTTTGGATTCTCTGCACCATATGATTTCACTCATATGTGAAACCTAAGGAACAAAATAAACTAACAAACAAAATAGAAACAGACTTGTGGGTACAGAGAAGTGAAGGCTATACAAAGTGAAACAGAAAAATACACACGGAACCGACAGTGAAGGGAAGGAAACCAGGACTCAAGTCAACCCTGTTTGGAACAAAAGGGAGAAATAAACATGCAACCCGATTATCCTTTTAGCATCTGTTGAACCTGTAGTGATCACGTCTTTTTATTCCTGACACAGATAATTAGACCTTCTTCATTTTCCCCAGTTAGTCTGGCCAGGGTTTGTCAATTGTAGTGATCTTTTCGAGAAGCCAGCCGGGTCACGCTCCCAAGCACATAGACACACTGTTTCTCCTGCCGTCCGAACCCAAACCGACCGACCAACAAGCCGGCAGACCTTCTGGGTCTTGCTACCCCTGTAGCCCCCGCCTTAGTCCCCTCCTTCCCTCTCTTCATGATGACGCGTGGAAGAGCATTGATACTGTCTCTGATTTCTCTTCTCTCTGTCACTCTCAAACCTCCCTAATAGGACCCTGGTCCCCACCCTGCCACCCGAATTGCTCTTGTCAAGATCACCAGTGACCTCCTTGTGCCTAAATCCAATGTTCTCTCCTTGTCTCCTCGGCTTATCCGTAGCCCTTGGCCAGCCGGTCACCCTCTCCTTGAAATGCTTTCTCGTTTGTCTTTGAAGACAGCAACCTTGCCTGGTTTTTCTCCAACTTCCGTGGCCACCCCTTCTCATTCTCAGTCGCTGGTTCCTCTTCCCCAATCTCTCAGCATCCGAGGGTCTCATTTGTTTTTTCTGCCTGCACTCTCTCCCTTAGTGAGCTCCTCCAGCCCCATGGTTTTAAACGCCCCTAAGTGACCTTTCTCCCTTGGACTCATATGTGCTCTGACTACTCAACACCTGCACTTGGACATCTAATAGCGATCGACACCCCACACCTGAAGTTTCCAGCACCAACTCCCGATATTCCCCTCAGCCTGCCCCTGCAGCTGTCTTCCAGGTCTCAGAGAACGACCACGCCAGCCGTCCAGCTGCTGAGGCCAAAGACCTTGTGGTCAGACTTGACTGTTCCTTGAACACCCCAGGCCTTTGTGCTCATTGTTTCCTCTGCTGGAGGTGCTCTGCCCTCAGCTCTCAGCTCTCAGCTCTCAGCGTGGCTGGTTCTCACTTCCTTCTGGTCGATTGTCCCGTCCTTGGCCACCCTTGACACCTGCGGTGTCCCTCCTTCGTGAATTCCCTGCCCCCCTTCCCAGAGTTGCTTTTCTCTTAGCACTTATCA